GGGGGATGGGTGGGTGGATGGATGGGGGTATGGGAGGGTGAGTGGATGGATGGATGGATGGGTGGGTGGATGGATGGATGGATGGATGGATGGATGGATGGGTAGATGGGTGGATGGGTAGATGGGTGGATGGATGGATGGATGGACAGAATATAGGACAGGCAACCAGGAGACCAATACACGGTCCAGGTGAGACATCACAGTATCATCGGTGGCCATGATACAAATAGCCATTACTGAGTGTTCCTGCTTTGCCAGGTAAATGTTTCTGCCAAATGATCCCACCTAATCTGTAAATGAGACATGGCCATTTGAGAAAGGAAAAAAACATGGGCAGAGAGATCTAGTACTGATCTGAGGTTCAAGCCCAGAAACCCCTGGTTCATGGACCCAAGATGCCGTGAGAAGGAATTCCCAAGGAGAAGATGACCAAGCCAAAGCTGACGATCAGAGGTTTTCCTGCCTCAGGGAATGTCATTGAGCAAGTTTCAAAATCTCCCTGAGATGGAAACCCAGGCTCTGCTGTGTTCCTGTATCCAACAAGTATTGATCAAGTGCTTGCTCTGTGCTGAGCCCTGCACCAGGTGCTGAGGGCACACCATGAGCCATAGGACATACGTCTTCTTTGTCCCCAGGGCCACCGGAGTGTCTAAAATCACCCTTCCCCACCCTGGTGCCCCGCCCCACACTCAGCCCTACAGTGCTGAAGAGTCTATGAGTAGCAACAAATATCGCTGGTGGGCATTCAGACCACGGGAGGGAGACAAGCCGGAGGAAATGACCCTGAGGCAATGACCCTGAGGCATGACGGACACTCCCTTCCCACTATAGCTTAGGTCAGGAGTTTTCGAGAAAGCCCAACCCCACCCAAATCAGCAAGCCCAGTCTGTGCATCCGTGAGGCAGACTCATGCCACTGAAGCCCGGCACCTAGGTTTCCTGGGGGTCCTCATGCCAGTCTGCAGCCCTCCTCTGACTCAGTCTCCCCACCTATTAATAAATAAGTGCATCCATTCCTCCCTCTTCTCCTTTTCCTCCCTTTGCCACGGTTTGGTGAAGATGGGGAGTGGTGTGCCCCTAATGTCTGAGGCTCTGCAGGCTTCATGTCATTTCCAGGGAGTGAGCATCTCACCCTGTGCTAATCCCGGATTCGCTACGTGTGTCGACATCTGGGTGCAAGGCCTGGCTGCTCACTGCAGCCTGATCACCAGCCTGCTGGTAGCCCTGGGTGCCCAGTCTGGCGCTGGAGACGGGTGGGTCTGCCAGGTGCTGCTGCTGGAATCTGGTCGCCATGGTGACGCCACTCCACCAGCATCGCCATCCTGGTCCCTTCAGAGACACCCGTATTGGAGTCCTCGCCTCTGTCCTAGAAATCCATCCCTGCAGAAGCGTTGGGGAGAGGATCTCTCCACACCGTCACATGCCACGCAGTCCCCGAGAGGATGGAGATGGTGGCTCGCGCCGAAGAGTCCATGTAGAGCCGAGATCCCCGGTCCCCATCAGCCTTGAGGGGCTCTAAACTTCCCCGACTTCCTTCTGCATAGACCTCACCACGGTTCCAACTATGTAGGTGCTGCTATAATTACGCTTTTAGGTCTCTTTGCCCCTCTTGAGGGCGTGTTCTGTGAGGGCAGGACCCTCCTCCTGTCGTGCTCTCCAGAACCCCCCCCCCCCGCCCCCGGAGACAGAGCAGCAGCTTGACAAACTGCTCTTTGCTGAACAGAAGGATGCAAGAATGTTTTCTGAACAGTGACTTTATTCCTGGGGCCATTACGGCAGTGGGTATACAGGAGGTGCTTAATAATGGCTTACCAAGAGATTAAGATGATCAGCTGGAGAGTGGGTGTGACAGCCTTTGAGCATGTTGTAGCACAGAAAGTGAGGAAGCTGGGGCACCTGGGTGGCTTAGTTGGTTAAGCGTCCGACTTTCGCTTAGGTCATGATCTCGCGGTTCGTGGGTTCGAGCCCCGCGTCGGGCTCTGTGCTGACTGCCAGCTCGGAGCCTGGAGCCTGTTTCAGAGTCTGTGACTCCCTCTCTCTGACCCTCCCCTGCTCACGCTGTCTCTCTCCCTCTCCTAGGAATAAATAGAACATTAAAAAAAAAATTAAAAAAAAAAAAAGAAAGTGAGGAAGCTGCTGGAAGAGCAAAAGGGTGGGCTGTGTCAGAGATGCGGGGACCCGCCCGGAGGAGCCACCACAGCCGGGCCGTTTGAGGGGGGCAACGTAGCGTGTTGGATTACGACCCAAAGCATGAAATAGACACACAGGGATCGACACTGGTAGAAAGAAGCAGCTGTTCCTCAAGGCGGGGTGGGGGCGGGGGGTCCCGTCTGCCAGTGTGGTCGCTGCCCTGGCGAGGGCACGACCTGGGAGACACGCCTTAGGCGGTAACGAAGGTACTTCACCGCTGACCCCCAGGGACAGCGGGGCCCCAGGGAGGCGATGGGAGGGGCAAGAAGGGCTCTTCAGCTCTGTGGCCTTCTTTCCAAAACCCATAATCCCAGACTCCTCGAGAGAAAACCCCTGACACCCCAGGCTGGGGACAGTCTGAGATAAGCCCTCGAGTGCGTACCCCGACTGTCTGACGCAGCGTCACGGATGGGAGGGGACGACCGTAGGTCGCGTGTGCCCTCCGGGGCGGGTTCTGAGCAGGAGCAGGAAGCTAACGGACAGACGCGCTGGCGAAACCCACAGACAGTCTGGGCCAAGGGCGCCTTCTCCACGTGCATGCACCTTGACCTTGGTGATGCAAGGCGGTAACGATGCGGAATCCGGGGGAAGGGTCTGCGGGATGCCCCTGTGTTACTTGCAGCTTTCCTGTAAATCTAAAAAGAGCCTCAAATTACAAGTTGATTTAAACAAAGAACGGGCATGCCCCCTGTCCCGCCCGGAGAGAGCATCGGGGGCTTTGGCTCACTCAGCGCGAACCAGACGGAGGCGCTCCCGGCCAGGGGCAGCCGCGTCCTTCTTCCACTCGCGTGTGTTGCCCTGAACGGCCCTGGGCTCAGGCGGGGGCCGGGGAAGCCGGGCACCCGGGGGGCCAGCAGGGCCGCAGCTCCCTCTGCGGTGCTCCTCCAGCCCTGCGAAGCTCTGGGGGTCCCCTCCCCACTCCACTCTCTGACTTGTTTCTTGACTCAGGGTCCCAGCACCCCAGGGCCTCTGTGGGCCCCCTGGGGTTGTGTGCAGGACTCTGGAAGTATGGGCACAGGTCCGGGGGGCCTCACGGTTCAGCCGAGGGGTGTTGGCCAATCCCGGCTCTGCCGCTCCTGACGCCTATGTGCTCTCAGCCTCAGTTTCCTCGTCTGTAAGGCAGGTCAGCAACAGCACCCGGTGCAGGGGCGAGGGCATGCGGGTCCAGGGACGGGGCATCTGGGTGGGGCGCTGTGGTCCCACATGGAAGGTAGTTCAGAGAGAACAGTCAGGTGGGAGCTGGGACGGAGGCCCTAGAAGGAGAGGCAGGGGTGCAGGGCCCCCCCCAACTTCCGCCTTCCCTCCCCCACACCTGCTTCCTTCATCCCAAGGCTTCTGGGAAGACGGTGTGTCAAGAGCATCACACACCATTTTCTCCCCCTGTGTTTTTGAGAGGTTCAACTTGGTGTCACAGCAGCTCCCCCCCCCCCCCCGAAATGCGGAGGCACCAGGCAAGTGTACATGGACTTGAACTTCCGGGTGGACTTGTCCTGCTCCAGGAAAGAATGATCTACTACTTGGGCCAGACTTAAAACATGGACTCAGAGAGCTCTAGAATCGTCTTTCTAAAATGAGCAGCTCTTGGTGATGCCCGGCTGGCTCAGTCGCCGGAGGCTGAGACTCTTATCTCAGGGTTGTGAGTTCAAGCCCCTCGTTGGGTGTAGGGATCACTTAAAAAACTAAAATCTTTTTGAGGCGCCTGGGTGGCTCAGTCAGTTAAGCGTCCAACTTCGGCTCAGGTCATGATCTCAGGGTTCGTGGGTTCGAGCCCCGTGTCGGGCTCTGTGCTGACAGCTCAGAGCCTGGAGCCTGTTACAGATTCTGTGTCTCCCTCTCTCTCTGCCCCTCCCCTGCTCACGCTGTCTCTCTCTCAGGAATAAATAAAAAACATTTTAAAAAAAGCCAAAACTGTTTAAAAAAAAACTAAAATCTTTTTAAAAAGTAAATATGAAATAAATAAAATGAGCAGCAATAACAAGGCAGTCACAAGCCAGGTGCCACCTTAGTGACTTAATTTGCTCCTGGCGTCTCCCAGTCCCCGCCTGGCAAGGGCCCTGCGTAGAGCCCCCCCCCACCCCCCGCCCCCACAACCCACCGGCCGACAGCCGCACCCCACGGATCCGCCACAACATCATCTGTCCAGCTCACCTGTGCTGAGCACCAGCCACAGGCGGGGAGATTAATACACACCGCCGCAGGGCCACAGTCCTTGGGAGCGACCCACAGCCCAGGGTTGTTGCCCCGCAGTGGGGGTGAGTCCTGTGAGGGATGTGAGGGATATAAAGAGTGGGTACAGCCAGGCAGGCTCCCTGAGGAGACCCCTCACCGCCTGAGGGGACGTGGGGAAAGTAAGCAACAGGAGCCAGGGAAAGCCAGACAGGGGAGAGGGGTGTTCCCAGCAGCAAGAACAAGCCGCTTATGCAAAGGCCCTGTGGCAGGAAGGAGTTTGGGGAGTCTGGGGGCCAGGGTGTGATTGGCTGGCGCGTGTGGGAGTGGCAGGCCACCTGGAGGCATGGGCTGTGAGTAGCGGAGGCCTGTCCCTCCTGCTGCGGGACAGAGGACGTACTGGCGTGATATTTAGGCAGCAGGACCCGTAGCAGGTGGCGGCCGACTGCACGTGGGGAGTAGGGTGCTGGGAGTCCAGGGCACAACCCCAGTCCTAGTGGGGCACTTGGGGAACGGGGGTGCCTGTGCCCGAGGCAGGGAGCCCCACGGGCCTGCCCCTCCATCTGCCACCTCGCAGACTCCCTCGCTGTCAGGCCCAATGCCAGTTGCCCTGCTCAGTCCTCGGCTCACGCCTCAGGGCCGTGGTCAGGGCCCCTCTGCTCCGTCTGGCTGCACAGGGACCACCCTGTTTATCCCCCAGGACCCCGCGATGTAAGCCTCTTATCGTCTCCACTTCACGGTGGAGGGACCCAAAGCTCAGAGAGATTTAGCAACTAGCTGGAGGTCACACAGCATCACACCCAGACCTGCGTGACGCTGAAACACATACCCTCCGCGATCACCTGTGCCGAGTCTCAGCAGCCAGTGCCCAGGGGCCACCGCTGCGAACCCTCACTGACCTCCTGCCCGAGCAGCGTGGGGACAGAGGACCACTTCTTTTCTGGTGTCCTTGTAACGGCTTGTAAGGTAGCTATGCTACTGCTGTTACCTTTGCGGGTACCTTTCCAGTTTTAGAGGTGGGGTGCCCTCAGGACGACAGTGCCCCTCCATCGTGCTGAGCACAGACCCCAGAGTCCTCCAGCCCGCCCGCCTCCCCTCCCATCTCTCTCGAGAGATCAGCTGGGGTTCGTATCAGCCCTGCGAGGTGGACACCCAAAGTAACACGCGGTAAATACAGGCAGAGGGAGGGTCCCGGGCTGGTCGGTGGGGGCTCGTCCTCTCCTCCAGACAGAGGGCAAAGCTGGCGTGGGGCTCTACCCACATCCAAGACTACTCTTCGCCCCAAAAAGAAACCCGCCACTCCCCACGCCCCCTCCCGCCAGCCCCTGGCAAACGCTCGTCTCCTTTCCGTCTCTACGGGTTTGCCGACCACGGGCCTCGGACGGCACCGAAACCCTCGTACGACTCCTGATCTCTTGCCTGGCCTCTCTCGCTCAGCACAGTCTCTTCAGAGTCCGTCCACGTTCTAACAGGCGTCAGTACTTCGTTCTGTTCTGTGGCCGAATCGTATCCCACGTGTGGACCTCCTACATTTTATGAATCATTCCTCGGACATTGGGGTTCTTTCCCCTTTTCGGCTCTTACGAACAATGCTCCCGTAAACGTTTGAGTAAAATTCTTCGAGCACCTGTTCGCAGGCCTCTTGGGCTCACACCTGAGAGTGGAATGCTGCGTCGTCGAGCAATTCTGCGCTCACCTTTTCCAGGAAAGCCACCAACCTGTCTTCCAAAGGGGCTGCTCCATTTCACGTTCCCTCTCCCCAGGCACAAAGGGCTCCAGTTTCTCCACATCCTTTCCAGCACTGGTTATCTTCTTTGTTTGCTGTCTGTTTGGTTTTTTTTGTTTTATTTTGTTTTTTAAAAACTTTTTAGCATTTATTCATTTTTGAGAGAAAGAGAGAGTGCGAGTGTGGGAGGGGCAGGAAGAGAGGGAGACACAGAATCCCAAGCAGCCTCCAGGCTCTGAGCTTCAGCACAGAGCCCGACGGGGGGCTCGAACCACGAGCGGTGAGATCATGACCTGAGCCAAAGTCGGACGCTTAACTAACTGAGCCACCCAGGCGCCCCTGCTGTTTTTTAATAGCCATGCTCCTGGGTATGAGTGGTATTCTCACTGTGGCTTTGACTTTACGTTCTTGATGACCAGCAGTGCTGAGGATCTTTTCATGTGCTTGCTGATCATTTCTAGATCTTCTTTGGAGACACAAAGGTCCATGAAGTCTTCTTAAGGTCTTAAGAATTAAGACCTGTTCAAGCCTTTTGCCTATTTTTAAGTTGGGTTACTGATCTGTTGGCTGTTATAAGAGTTCTTCATATGTTTTGGAAACTAGACTCATCAAATATATGATTTGCAAATATATTCCCCATTCTTTTGGGTTCCCTCTTCACACGAAAGGATGCACAAAAGGTTTTTAATGAAGTCAAATGTATCTGTTTTTTTCTTTTGTTGCTCATGTTTTGGCTTAGTATCTAAGAATTCGTGGCCAAATCCAAGATCTTGTAGAATTATTCCTATGTTTTCTGCTGAGAGTTTCATGGCTTTAGCTTGTACCTTTAGGTCTCTGATCCACTTGGAGTTCATTTCTGTATGGGGTGTGAAGAAGAGGTTTGAGTTTATTCTTTTGCATGCGGACATCTAGTTATCTCAGCACCATTTGAAGGAAAGATGATTCTCTGTGCACATGAGTATCTACATTGTTTCTTCTTAGGATGGCACCTGTCATATTTGAGTACGGCCCACCCTAATGACCTCGTTTTAACTTAAATACCTCTTGAAAGACCCTGTCTTCAACTACAGACACATTCCGAGGTTAACGAGGGTTATAACTTTCACATAAGAATTGGGAGGGAGACAATTCACCCTACAACACGATCATCTTTTTCCCCTAGTTCTTTTAACATGGTGTATTGCATTACTGGGTATTCATGTGTTGAACTACTCCTTCATTCCTGGAATAAGTCTCATTTGTTGTGTAATCCTTTTAGTACACTGCTTGCTGGTATTTTGTTAAGGATTTTTGTGCCTGTATCCACAAGGGATATTGGTCTGTAGTTTTCTTTCTTTTTTTTTTTTAATTTTTAATGTTTATTTTTGAGAGAGAGAGAGAGAGAGAGAGCGTGAGCAGGGGAGGGGCAGAGAGAGAGAGACAGAGACAGAGAGAGAGAGGGAGGGAGACAGAATCCTAAGCGGGCTCCCGGCTCTGAGCTGCCACCACAGAGCCTGATGCGGGGCTCGAAACCATGAACCATGAGACCGTGACCGGATGCTCAACCGACTGAGCCCCCCAGGCGACCTGGTCTGTAGTTTCTTGTGGTGTCTTTGGCTGTGGTATGAGGGTAATAATGGCCTCATAAATGACAGGGAAGTGATCCCTCCTCCTCTATTTTTTGAAAGAAATTGAGAAGCCTTGGTATTAATTCTTCTTTAAACATTTGATGGAATTCACCAGCGAGGCCATTGGCCCTGGGCTTCCTCTGTTGGAAGATTTTGATTACCTATTCAACCCCTTTTTCTTATTTTAGGTTTATTGAGATATTGTGATTCTTCTCAAGATAGTGTTGGCAGGTTGGGATGAGCACTGGGTGTTATATGGAAACCAACTTGACAATCAACTATTTAAAAAAAAAAAAAAGAGTGCTGGCAGTATGCACGCTCCTAGGGGTTCAGGCGTCTCATCTAGGTTATTGAATCTGTCGGCACACAATTGCTCCCAGGGCTCACTCAGGGTCCTTATTTCTGTAAGGACAGCAGGAGTCCCCCGCCCCCAATTCTGATTCTTGCCTCTACTCATATGAGCTTCTTTCTTGTTTTCCAGGCCAATCTACCTAAAGGATGGTCTGTTTTGTTGATTTTTTAAAAATGTTTACTTATTTTGAGAGAGACAGCGAGAGAGCAGGGCAGGGGCACACAGAGAGGGAGACACAGAATCAGAAGCAGGCTCCAGGCTCTGAGCTGTCAGCACACAGCCTGATGTAGGACTCGAACTCACAAACTGTGAGATCATGACCTGAGCAGAAGTCAGACGCTGAACTGACTGAGCCCCCCAGGCACCCTGTTTTGTTGATTTTTTAAAAAGTAGGCTCTACACCCAGTGTGCAGCCCAATGCAGGGCTTGAACCCGCGAACCTGAGATCAAAACCTGAGCTGAGATCAAGATTGGACACTTAACTGACTGAGCTACCCAGGTGTCCCTGCTGATTTAAAAAAATATATTTTAATTTAGTCAGTCCTCTCTCTTGCTTTTCTATTATTTATCTTATCCATCTCCTCTCTAATCTGCATTGCTTCCTTCTGCTAGGATTTAGCTCTTTCTTTCTTTCTTTCTGAGAGAGAGAGAGAGAGACAGCGTAAGCAGGGGAGGGTCAGAGAGAGAGGGAGACAACAGAATCTGAAACAGGTTCTAGGCTCTGAGCTGTCGGCACAGAGCCTGATGCGGGGCTCGAACCCACAAAGCGTGAGATCATGACCTGAGCCGAAGTCGGACACTTAACTGACTGAGCCACCCAGGTACTCATAGCTTTGAGTTTCGTTGCCTCCTTTTGTAATTTCTTTGTGTGGGAGTTCAGGTGATTGATCTGAGATGTTTTCTCTCTTTTAATATAGGCATGTATAGCTATGAATTTCTCTCTGGTTGCTGCTTCTACCAAACCCCATACGTCTTGGTATGTTTGGATTTTTTTTTGTTTGTTTAGTATCTTCTTCTTTTTAAAAGTTTTTTTTTAACATTTTATTTTATTTTTTGAGACAGAGTGTGAGCAGAGGAGGGGCAGAGAGAGGGAGACACAGAACCCGAAGCAGGCTCCAGGCTCCGAGCTGTGAGCACAGAGCCCAAAGTGGGGCTCAAACCCATGAATTGTGAGATCATCACCTGAGCTGAAGTTGGACGCTCAACCGACTGAGCCACCCAGGCACCCGTTCAGTCTTTTCTAATTTCCCTCGTGATTTCTTCTTTGACTCATTGGTTGTTTCAGAGTGTGTTGTCTGATTTCCACGTATTTATGAATTCTCAAATTTGTTTCTGTTACTGATTTCTCGATTCATTTGGCTGTGGTCAGAGGAGATATTTTGTATCATTTTAATCTTTTAAAAAATGT